CTTTAGAAGCACTTAGTACTTCTTTGATTATAGTTACCACTACATTTTTTAGTTCCGAAATTATTTCTGATCTGATTTCTTCTATACCTTTCTGCAGTTGATTCTTTACTGTCAATGCTATTATTTCTGAGATATCTGGTGTGTGATTTCCAGTTTCCTCAGTGCTAGTGTCTTCTGCATTTGTACTGGGTGGACTCGAGGCCTGAGACTGCATTTTGTTTCTTCTCTTTGTCATTTTGTATACCACTGTCTTCTGACCTTTGGTGTAGAGCTTAGATAGTAATTACCTTAGCACCAGGTCCGGATCTAAGAAGTTCAGATTCCTCCAGGTGGGTGTTGTTTAGATCTGGCTGCTGTGCTCCACTTCTTTCTGCTGCAGCCGTTAGAGTTGAACCCTTTGTGTCACTCTGGCAAGATGTTCTGCCCGTGAATCAGCTGGGTGGATCTTGCCTCTAGCCTCTTTGCAGGGAGTTCTGCTGAAGGGTTCTATGCTGGGCCTGCAGCCTGGGTGGAATGAGGATCCCCGGCCCTGGGTCGTCTCACTCACTTGCCGGGCCTGCACTCTGGGTCTGTTCAGGATCCTGTGGCCCCAGTCCTCTCACTCACTCGCAGGGCCTGTGCTCTGGCTGTATTTCAGTTTTTGAGAGCAAATGTTATAAAGCACTTCCCTACCATTTTTTTCTTTTCTCTTCATCTCTCAATATAATTCTTTATATCTTTTATTAATAAAGGCAAGAAAGAGTTAATGCATTTAGAAAATCTTCCAACATTTCTATAAAATTATTAGGCAATAAATACATTCCTACTTATACCATATGATTCCATTTTGTTCATATGTACACTTACGTTTCCCAGCAGGGTGGTGTCAAACAAATTGAATGCTAAAGACAGGCTGAGCCTTCACACCAAATTGAGCTCTTCAGCTTGGAGACCTATTGGGATATAAAAGAGTCATCTATCTGTATTTTCTTTTGTCATAAGGCAACAGCTAAAGTCAACAGTGAGTAAAACATAGTTCAATATTGGCTATGTGAGATTATGATTTGCCACCTCTTGTAGATATTTCTTCTGAACTGCAAGGAAATGTTGTAAACCTAAAAGCTTGTCATGAGCAATCAAGGAGAAAAGACAGGCAACTGCTCCAATAATTTTTTGTCTTTCATGCCAATAGAAACAGAGAGATGCTCATAAAAATGTTTGAATAACTTCTTTCAGTTTGCGTTTATTGCTCTCAGTATCATAGTATTATGATGCTATAGGAATTGATTTATCTGTGTAAATATATATCTAAACAGATGTGAGATACATGTCTACGAATGGCAAAGATATGAGAGAGACAGAGAGAGAGAGATGGAGAGAGAGACAGAGAGACAGACAGAGATAGAGACAGTGACAGAGAGACAGAGAGAGAAAATTGTAAAATCAGAAATCAGGAAGATAAGTTAGTCACCTGATAACCCAGTATATAATGGAGACCAGAAGACCAAGCCCCTTGCAGATATGATCTTTTTAGTTATAGTCTGATGAGAGGAAAATTCTAATATCCCATCTTAAAGGTCGCTACAAAAGAATTTGCTCTTTTTCAGGGAAAAAACAATTAATTTTTTTTGCTCTGTTCTGGACTTCAACCATTTGAATGAGAACCACTCGCATCTGAAATAGTAATGTATTTTACTCATTTTATTGATTTATATGCTAATCGTCACAAAACACTTTCACAAACTCACCTAAGGTAATGTTTGTCCAAATTTCTGGGTCACCCATAGTCCTTTCAAGTCAATACATAAATTAAATCATTGCAACTCTCTTTTGTCCCTCAAAGTACGCCATCTGTATGTTGATTCTCCAGACTAATTACTTTCTTTTCACTTAGCACTATACCTTTTTCTCTCACTGACAAGTTATATATGCAATACTATTTGCCCCTTATGCACGGGGTAATTTCACTTAACTAGCTAATGATATGTAAAAATTTAAACTGTTTCAAGTGGAGAGAGAAAAAAATCGTAAAAGTACAGTTTTCTTTTGGATCTCTCTAATATTTTCCAGATAGAATTCTGCTCTTTAGTAATTTGCAAAATCAAAGCTGAAGTTATTTAACTTATGCCTTTTTAATAATCTGCAGAGAAGTGAGGGTGGTGTTTTTCTTCACCCATTATAATGTTCATAGATAAGATAGGGGATTATTCAGAAATGAAGGAAGACCCATAAGAAGGAGACTGCTGTGCAGTGATATGATTGAGGATAATGAATATGATCTAATGGCACTAACTAGAGGAAACCTGAGTACGGTCTCTTTGCTCACCCCTTCTCTCTGTATGTGCATCTGCATTTCTTTTCTCTCCAAAGAAGGAAGAGGGCTCTGGAATGGGGAACTTGTGACCTACACTGGAGGAAGACCAGAAAATTCTTTCTTGAGCTGCTTCAGGAGAGAACAGTAGAAGACTACCAAGATCTTTTTTCTGCTATTCCCTCCAGTGCGTTGAGCTTTAATGCTCAGTATGTATAGGAGCTATTTCTTCTCCTCTACAGATTATTAAAAGGTACAAGTAAAATGACTAGAGATTCAATGTTTCTATCCTACAAAACAGTTTTCTATCTGGAAAAAATAAGATAAATCTGAAAAAACTGTATTTTTATGAACCCTTGTTCTATCCATGAGAAAAATGTACAAGAGCTTATTAGTGGGGCTGGGGAAATAGCTCAGTAGAACAAGTACTCGCCTGGGAAGTGCAAGGTCTTGAGTTCAATCCCCAGTACTGAAAAAAAAAAAGAGCTTATTAGCTAGTTTTTCAACTGAATTGTCATATTGTCATTTGGGGTAATTTGACCTAAACTGCATAATCCTTAGTCTTATTCTGGAGGAGGGATGTGTCACAATTTCTATGTTTGACACTATAAGAAAAGCAAACTATCCCTCAGAAAGGTCCTGAGGTGGGCACATTCTTCCTAAATTTTATAGGTGCAGAATCCCAAGGATGGAGAAGCAGAAGGCGTTGCTCATAGCAATGGTAATGGCGGCCGTGGAAGCCACACTCCAGCAACTTGATTCAAAGTCCTCTGTGTCCTTCGCTTCCTTCCAGTTTCTCCTACAGTGCAGCATGGAAGGATGTGTCAGGCAAAAATGCAACCAAACCTCATGCTCACTTGGGTAACCACAACCACCTTTACATCCTTCTTCAGCGCTTACCTTTATTCTCCTCCAGTCAATAAGGGAAACCATTAAAATGAGCCAACTGGCCAGTAGAGGGTGGGTAAAGATATAATATACTGAACAATGCAAGTACAATTCTTCTTTCAGCATGTGTAATAATGTTATTACATATTACTTTAAGATTATCTTACTCTTCTCACCAGGATGAAATCCAAGATTCTCCATACAAGGTATATATAATTGCCCTCATCCATAGCAATGCCTGCCTCAGCAGCATCTCTTTCATGAAACTACACAGGAATCAGACTTAGTGGAAAAGAAAATGTAATAGTAAAATAATTCCAGTTTGAGGGTATTGTTGGGGATTCACTGTAATTTCATAGCAGTTTTAAAATTTAATAGACAAATGAAAAGAAAAATAAAAAAGGCTTAAATATTGAGGATTGTATTTACTACTTTTATTAAGACCTATTTACTACCACAAAAGCAACAGCTGCGGGGACGATGGCTACATAACCATTTGAGTGAGAAGCAAAGCTACGTGAAGTATCTCCCTCACTTGAACTCGCCCTACTTCCCTCCAAGGACTGAAAGTGCACTCAGTGTAAGTGGCAGCTTTTCTGCTGTCATTTCAGAGAAGAGAGGCACTTTTTCATGCCTGGTAAATTCTGGCTATAGGAGAGATGAAAGCTGAAGTGCCAGAGGGCAGAAAGAGCCGATGGACAAAGTGCAGAAACTGGGGTTTGTGCAGCGAGGTTCATAACAGAACCAATGATAGGCTCAGCCTCCAGGGACAAAGTACAGAGAATGTGCAGGGAGAAGAGAAGGGGAAAAATAGTGAAATGCTTAAATCTGCAATAAGGTACGTCTGAAGCAACGCTGTTATTATGCCACAAACTCCGTAAGTCTTTACACGTAGCTCATTCTATCAAATCTTTCTTCTCAGATATGAGCACACAAATGATAAGAGCATCACAATGGCAAGACTGGAAAGCAACTTGCTTTCTCCTTGTTTTTACTTCTCTCTCAGTGTTTTTTTTTTAAGTGCTGAAAGATAATGTGAAGAATAATGGTACCTGCTCCACTGTTTCAGAATAACCTTATTTTTGCTCACCTTGATTTGAGAAATAAGCCTCAGTTCAACTCCATTTATTTTTCATACAGTGGATTTGAGAGCTATAAGAAAGAAATTTATAAAAATATGATCCTACAGAATATCCTGAATCCTAAGTAAGATAGAGTTTAGACTTCCTAAGGCTACTAAACCAAGTCACATATGCTATTCCAGTCCTCTAATCCAGCTCTTTAGAAGCTTCGGGCAGGAGGATCACAAGTTTGAAGCCAGCTTTAGCTAGGCCTTGTCTCAAATTACAAGAAAAAGAAACAAGGCTGGGGATGGAGGTTGATGCAAACTCCATGGCTTCAATCGCCAGTCCTTCAAGAGAGACAGAGACACAGAGAGTCAGACGGACAGAAAGAGACAGAAACAGAGACAGATACAGGGACAGAGACAGAAACACAGAGAGACAGAGACAGAGACAGAGAGACAAAGAAACAGAAACACAGGCTGAGGCATAAAAAAGAGTGAGAGAGACAGACTGTAGAAATACTGGAACAATCCATAGATCTGATGCTAGGTCTTCATATGTCTATTATTCAATAAAATAAAATTAGTATTTAGAAGTGAGATTCACCAGAACTTGAAGAAAACCATATAATTCATTACATTTATATTTTACAGTATTTGGAATATAAAAATGGCTTTAACTCTCAAGACGTCAATGGTAAAACGAAGCCGGGTTTACATCAAGAGAGATAAACCATTGAATCTGAGTTTAAGATGCCAGAATCCACATAATAATCTCTTCTTCAAACTATATTCACGACCATCCTGTTCTAAAGAAGAGTCTAAAGGGAGGAAGACTGGCTTACATTAACTGAACATTTAAGATGATTTCCTGCTTAGCTAATAGCAAATGAGACAATGATCATCATATTCAGAATGATATTTAAGCATAAGCTGAATATTTAATCTGATCAATAAAAAAAAAGAAAAAAAACATAATCCTTAAAACTCAATAGATTTTTTTACTCTAACAAATTAAGATAAACCTTGCTGTCTGCTATTCCTAAGACTGGGGCCAAAATTTGCAAATATGTTCCCAGATACTTTCCCAGACTCCTTTTACAACGATCTGCTGTCCTCGTTTCCATCTCAGGCTATTAAGTTTTCCTTCCAGCGCAAGTTTCCTTCCTTCTAGTTTCTGCTCGCAAAATCCTGTCAGTTTTTCAGCACCATTTAAAAGCTATCCGTCTGGGGCTGGTGAGATGGCTCAGTGGTCTAAAGCACCTACTTAGAACAAGCACAGGGACCACAGTTCAATCCCCCAGCACCACATGCCAGCCAGCCCCACCCCCTGGTGGGCTGAGCTGGCCACACACACACACACATACACACACATAAATAAATAAATAAATAAATAAATAAATAAATAAATAAATAAAATTAAAAAAAAATAAAATAAAAACTATCAGTCTAACTGACAAAGGTTCTACAATCGGAGGTACAGGATCTCAGGATAAATCCTGAGGGCATTTCACTGACCTTCTCAGACCAAAAAGCTACAACTCTTGTTGCATAGGTCCTGCTTTACCTTGGTCTTAGTTATGTTGAGCTGTAGGGGACTCAGGTCAACAAGATCCAATACTATTATGGGCTACTGGGCTCTTTTAGAATATTTTGCTGAGTTAACACACCTATAATATTCAAATAACGGAACTTAACAAAAAAAAGGGTATACAGATGAATGTCCATTTTGTATCTGTGTATTCAAGGTGGTTAGGATAGATATATAGTTACATTCTGTTAATGAATAGAATGATTTGTTCTAATGGTGTTTGTAAATAGGATGTCGAGTCCACATCTTGTACAGCAATTAACCACTAAGAAGAATGTATGCAGTGTGTTAATTATTGAAACTGTCCTAGCGATTTGATTTGAAACTGTCTCATTGCTATTTGTTTATCAATAAAATTATCGCAAAAAAATAAATAAAAAATAAAAACTATCAGTCTGATTTCATAAAGATAATTTTAGTTTTTTATTCTCTTAATTTACTGAAAATCCAACGTATATCCTTTTACCCTTTCGCAACCAGGATGGTTAGGGCATAAGTAGCACAGTGAATAAAGATTCTTAGGAGATTTAAAATTAAGACATTTTTCTTGGTTGGTAAAGCTTTAGTGATTATTTTCAACTTCATTGACTGATACCAGTTTATTTAGAATTTTGATACTTTCTTGATTTAGTTTTGGCAATTCAACTGTGTCTAGGAATCTGTCCATTTCAGCTGCGCTTTTCATCTCATTAAAATATAGTTTCTCATAGTAGGTATTGAGGAGTTCCTAGATTTCTATGGGATCCATTGTGATTTCTCCCTTTTCATTCCTAATTGCTAGGATTAATAGTTTTTCTCTTCTTTTTGATGAGGTTGGCTAATAGTTTATCAATTCTTATTCATTCTTCAAAGAACCAACTTTTCTGTTTATTGATTCTCTGTATTGTTTTCTTAGTCTCTATTGCATTAATTTCTGTTCTTTATAATTTCCTCCCTTGCACAAACTTTAGGTTTGATTTATTCTTCTTTTTCTAGAAGTTTGAGGTTAAAAATTAGGTCGTTTTTTTTTTGAGGTCATTCTGTTTTCCTGACATGTGAGTTCATTGCTGTAAATTTCTCTCACAGGACTGCACTCATTGTGTTCTATGTTTCTGGGTGATGTATCAGCATTATCATTTAATTATATGTGCTGTTTAATTTCATCTTTAATTTCTTGCATGGCCCATTGTTGCTTGAGAAGGGTGTTGTTTTATTTCCACTTATTAATGCAATCTCTCTGGTTTCCTTTGTCATTTATTTCCAGTTTTACTGTTTTATGGTCAGATAGTAACCATGGGATGATTTCAATTCCTCTGTATTTAGTTAAACATGTTTAATCAGTTAATACATGATCTATTGGGGAGAACATTCCATTGACAGCTGAGTAGAATATTATTCTGATGTTTTCAGGTGAAAGAGCCTATAGATATCTAACAAATCTGTTCATCTGTAGTCTTGGTTTAATTCTAACATTTCTTTGTTGAATTTTTTCTACTTGATTTATCCATTTCTGAGTGTGGAATGTTAAGTTTTAGTACTATAATTGTGTTACTGATTATTTGTTTTTTCATATCAGTTAATATTTGTTTTATGCAATTGGGTAAACCTACTAAACAAACCTATCTTTGGTGCATACATATTTATAATTATTATCTCTTCTTGGAGTTTTTCCTGCATAAGTATTTAATGATCTTCTTTACCTCTTGTGTCAGTTACTC